CCAGCACAGGATGATAGAGCAAACCAATAAGCATCGTCGCCCCTCGCAGTTTCAAGTAGGCGACTTAGTCTGGGTCAGTTCTGAAGAGTTTACACCCGAGGAGAACATCTCGCAGAAGTTACTACCCACATATGGAGGACCGTGGCCAGTCCTAGAAGTCAAAGGCGGCGAAGATGGACCGTCCTATACCATAGAACTCCCAGCACACCTCCACACGTATCCAGTTTTCCACGCATCCAAGTTGTTACCATGTCAAACGAGCGATCAGTTTCCATCCCGTAGGTCCATGATCCCACCGGATATGGATGGAAGATACAACATTGATGGCATAGTGGCTGAAGATGTATTCAGGACTGGAGGTAGGGGTCGTCCACAGAAACAGTACAAAGTTCATTTTAGTTATCAGGAACCGGAAGACGACCGCTGGTTTACAAGATCTGAACTTCTAGAGACAGCWCCCGATATAGTCCGGGCCTACGAAAGACAACAGAAGGGTAAAGGTCCTGCCTTGAATTGAAATTTTTCTCGGAGGACCTCGAATTTAGGCCGGCGGGAGTGAAACGGTATTCACCAATTCGTGGTAGCTGAGGTAGATCCCAGGGCTCGATCCCTAGTTTCCCAACTTACCTGTGTACAATACCAGCGTCAACTCGAAGAGTTGAACCTGCGACCTGTAGAACCGYCAGTGGTAGGTAGGTCTGTCGTAGGTCTATAGGTAGCCAGGATTYGATCCGTAGACCTATAGACTAGAAGGCTAGCTGCAGTCCTTCTAGAAGGTTGGCAAGTGGTCAAGTGGTGCAGGCAAGTGGTCAAGTGGTGCAGGCAAGTGGTCAAGTGGTGCAGGCAAGTGTGCAGCGATAGGTAGTGGCAGCTAGCGCTGCCATAGCTGTAGCCTAGCATGTGTGTGTATGAAGTGTGATACTGAGTGTTGCGTGTGGGACATCCAGGGTGATCCAGAGTGCGAAYAGTGAGTTGTGTGGGCGCTCAGTCGCCATAGCCAGTTTGAAGAGAACTCTTATGTGGATACGATATCTTGAGTACTGAGTGGGCGCCTGTCGCCAATTTGCTGTTTCGCTGTTTGCATACATGACAAGTTGAATAATCG